CGATTTCTCTCTGATGAGAAAGAGATTGAGCATGAGCATGAGCACTAGTACGAGTACGAGTACGAGTAGCCTTACAGTACTTTACTACAGTACATCACGTACCATACCAGATAGATACCGTACGTACGGTATGAGTAAGTAAGCGCACAGAACGGTATGAGTACGCACCGTACCGTACGGTACGGTACTGTATTGTCTTCCGTCTTCGATCTTTTCGATTGTATTCGTATGCTGTGAAATCCTGGCGAAATGGACGTACGAGTACGTAGGTACGGTACTGTACCGTTTCTCTTGAGTTTTAAATTGAGGTTAGTCACTATCTACTCGTGATCTAGGCGCTGGGCGCACAATTGGAACCAAATAATGTACGTATTGGTAGGCAGGGGTTATGACCCCTGTTGGTAGGTACGTACCATACGTACTACTAGGGGTCTACATTAATTACCCCTAGTAAGGTACCGTAGGTACAGTACGTACGGTGATACCCCGTTTTACGTAACAGTACGATGATTCTCCTGCAGATAGTGAGACAAACATCGACACATCAAAGGAGACGGGTAACAAGACGAAAATAATCACACGGTACCGTAGACTAGATGCAAATCTGAGAAGTTACCCGAGCATTGATAACAGGTGTCGTAACTATCCAGAATTTAAACGAAAGAATTCGGAGCGACAATTGCAGCCAATACATTCTCATGATGATCATCTGGAAGAGTGGAAAAAAGATATATTCTTGGATTMTCGGTTCTATCTGGCTTTCATACCTTTTTGGTTTCTGGGACCGGGGCCATACCACTATTACTCCGTTCGTTGATGCGCGACCCGTGACTTCCTTCCAGCTTGCTACGGGAGAGTGGGATATTTCGATGAGAGGAAGCTACTGGATGRACCCTTCCTTTGTGTTCCCATCGGTTGCCGACCTCCATGCATCGCCAGCGACAAGACCGAACCCGGGGRAAAAACAGAGGTCGATASCGCTCGTGAAACGACGGCCCTGGGGATCTTCGTTGGATTGCACGCTTTCCCTGGCTTCCGACGGGACCTTCGTGTTGACACCGAAGCAAACCACAAGTACAGATGAAGGGCAGAGATCGGTCTCGACAGAAGCTGAAGCTGACAAAACAATTACGAACAGTCGTCCTAACCTATTTGCGAGACGAAAAAAGCAAGCAGGAACGATCCAAAGCCGTTTGCTACATGTTCGTGGGACCTGGAGAGTTTTGCCGAATCCTTACTGCGTGACCGATCGCTTTTATGACGAGGTATCACTCACAGCCTACCCCCGCCAAAAAGTAGCGGCATTAGGGGGGGAAGAGACCAATATTGATGCTGAGGAAGGCGTGTTACGGACGGTGCAATTGACAATGAATTGCCGCATATGGGGCAGGCACATGCACAATCGTCAACGAGAAGCTGGTGGAACAAAGCCATATCGAATGACGCACGGAACATTGGTATGCAATGATGTTTATACAGGTGATAACCATACACGGTGGTGGAGAGCATTTTTTCGCCCTGTCCTAGCTTCGTTCTCGGCAGTGCGCTGTTCCGACGATCCGAAACACGAGGGATGGATTGATAAGGAACGGTATGGGTACTAAAACGGAAGAAAAAAAAAAACATAATAGAATAATACATTATAGAGTGAAAACTTGCGATCGGTCCCGTTACTATGTCTCTTGAACCTACTGCCTATCAATATTTTCTTCCCATAATGCCACCAGCTCGTCTTCTGAGTCATACCGAACAGAAGCGAACCATTTATGAACCACAGGCTTCCAGGTGTCGGGTATTGCTGTCCCCCAATCACCCATGGCAATGTCACCCAAGCCTTTCAGTGCTCTATTACTTACATAGTTGTAGTCGTCGCCGCCATCCGAAGAAAGTAGGACTTTGTGTTTTCGCTCCAGAAACCTTGCCTTTTTCTCTTTTCCCAACCCCCTCCAACCTTCGATTTGATATCTAATCCCTTTCTTTTTTTGATTCCCTTCGATTTTCATAGCAYCCWTAGGAGACGTGCTTGAGCCATGGCGTCTCTTGGAAGAATGAGGCTTGGTTTTAAAAGATCCTTCCTCGACGAGTCGCTCCCCAATGTCTACCAGCAATTTGTAGTCTTTTGTCCTAACGGCAAGATCCGCCAACATATCGTACACAGGAGGTCGGAGGGAATATTTCGATGTTTTAGTTGTAGTTTCGAGGATATTGGAAAGTCGCTCTGAGATTGTATGCGGACTCGAAGCAGAGAGTTCATGATCCATTACATGTTTCTCGGCTTCTTCCAATTTCTGAATGCTGTCATTCCAAGACTTCGCAGCAATAATGTTCATGAGATTATTGCACAGGCTATCACTGATTGGGTTGTGACTTCTTGGTATATGGCGGCATTCTATGTCAAATGCTACTGCCTCTGTTGACTCGAGGCTACGTGCGTCTGAGATTTTGCCATCATCATCATCATCATCATCATCATCATCATCATTGATGACAACTACGTTTCTATTTGTGAGCTCGTCCAACAAACTCTGAGCGCGTACATGCAACGATTCCAATTTTCGAGGTATCGCTTTCCCTGAAAGTTGATCAATGACTGTCTTGCAATCACCCTCTATCGATATCAGTACTCTTTGTGGTTGTCGCATGGTAGAAGTATAACTATCGATCCCACTGATGTTTTCAAGTGCTCTCGAATTCTCGGCAAATGTATATTGTATGTTCCAGTCTGGTAGTGAAAAAAAATCAACCATCCACTGTAGTCCCAACAAGAGACCTTCGTATTCAGCATGCTGTGAAGTCGTTTCTGTGGAAACTGGAAGTGCCCTTGCGCCGACTGCCAATGGCGTAATCAAGGTTTCATCGTTGTCGTCAACGTCATTTCGATCAAAGTCAACCCAATCGCTGTTATTTCTACTGTGCACCACCCAAACACAAGCAGAACATACGGCCATGCGATAGGGAATCGTCGGAAACCCAGGGTCTCGAGGCGGACGAAGGCATCCATCAAACTGGAGCTTGAAACGGGTTGTGGTTCTTTGCGAAGAAGGTTCTTTAGTAATAGGAGCCGATTTCGTCATTCCCGATGCCATTGCCAAACACCATATAAAGCAGAAGTCGAAAAGTAGCGACGATACCGACCCACAAAGGGAAAAGGCCATGTTTGGCGTTTCAAATGGGATTCCCAATCCGAATACAACGAAGAATCCTTGCTTTTCGGTTAAAGAAAACTCTCATAGCCGTGCTTACTGCGATTAAACCATACCAAGTCGAGATTCCACCCAAAAAAGTTCCATTGCCACTATTGATTCTTATAATTTTATTTGTCCTTTGCGCGCTCTCTTAAATGTCTAGAGGCGAGGCTGGGTGGTGATCAAGCAGAGGTTGATGTCGCCGCAGCCGTATTGTTCACTCTGGATTTTATGAAAAAAATTGGACCCTCGATGCTTGACAAAAAACGTTTGGTTTTGAGTTTTGATCAATTACAGTAGAACTACGGTTTGCTACCAACAATGCTACTACTAGTACTAGTAGCAGTAACAKTTACAGTCTTCTTTGCTTATCAGAAGTCAACACACTACTTGCAACTTTCTGATGGATGGTCTATAGTAGGATGACTCTTCCTGCTACTTTGTCAGAGCGTTTGTCCTTCTTTGCAGCGTTCTTCAATGCTTCCCATGCAATTCTTGTTCTTGTCTAAACAAGAACAAGAAGAAGAAGAACAACAACAACAACAAGAACAACAACAAGAACAACAACAACAAGAACAAGAAGAAGAAGAAGAAGAAGTACTATTTGTGCTGATGTTCCTCACACCAACGTGTCTGCTTGGGGGGTCACAACTCACCACTGGACTTTCTTGGATACATACTCTTGTCAAATAGAATCATAGTAGAAGGACAATTTGCTTCTAATGATCTACTCCAATGAAACTCAGAATTATACTACTATTTTATGTATGTTTTGAGCTCACGCCACTTCCTTGCTGTGGGAGGATTCAGTACAACTGAAGCAGCAGGTGAAGTAGCTAAAGAAAGGCATGAGAGACCCACCATCTAGTAGTAGTACTAGTATATTTGTACTAGATTCTGTTTTGATACAAAAATCCCACCAACAGGAGGCCAAATTTCTTCTTGTGATGGACAGGGAGAGAAAATTGAACCTGTTATGACTTTTGATAAGCTATTGGTACTAACTGACTTTGGGCTACACTAAGAACTGACTTTTGGAGATGAGTCATGTTGTACTTCAAAATCATCATCATATCAATCCATTCCAGAGCAAAATTGAGCAAATGTATGATAGAAATCCCAACTTGTACTGAGGGAACAATCATCAATTACTACTAAGCAAGAAGCATGGACTTTTTTTGACATGTTTATTCCCTACTATATCTGTCATAACTGTTGCTACCCCCAGTTGAAGGCACTGTTTCTGGTACCTGGAAGTTCAAAATGCTTTTGAAGATCATAAGTTGATGCCACAACTTGCTTGAGATTCTTTCCAAGAACAAAAATTCTGTGTTTTTTACTCTTGTTACAGTTGATTGACACAGCGGTTCTTCCCCTTAATTTTCAATTGCATTGTTAATGAGGTGTTGGTATGGTGACAATGTCAGTATTTGCAAGAGAGCCCATCTTTTGTCCCATTGTTGACTTGAACATAATATAGCATGGATATTTTTTCTTAGGGTCAAATGCTGCGCCTCCTATTATGAGATCTAGTACAGAAGTGTTGGTCACACAAGCTACCTTATGACAAACATGGATTTCCAACTACTCACAGCTGCTTGTTTTGACTTCCTGTTCTTTTAATTGATAATATGAAATTTTGTTCCACCCAGCTATTTCCATTGAAGTCCTTCCAATTCTATTTGGCACAAGTTCTGAGAAGATGGTATCTTTACAAACCTATCCACAGGTGAGAAATTCTTCAAAATGACACAGGAGTTACTAATCATAAATGACCACTTGGTTCTAATCATAGTGGATTACTTGGTTGCTAGTAGTACACCATATATCAACACTGTCTGCAGGAAGTAGGAAGTTGCCTGTCCTTGCTTTTTTGATAATCAACCACAGGTATGAAAATAATCTGTAGTTGTCTCCCTGCTCTAACAAGCCACTCACAGAAAGTTATAGCAAATCTTGTAACCCAATATGCTCAAAATTCTGCTACCAACTACTAGTAGCTTTTATTATTGCAGTCTCAAAAGTTTCAAATATTAGGCAAGACAGTGTTYTCAGAGTTTATGTTTGTTGTAGGGCTAAAGAAGGTAGACAAACAAGCAACAAGAAACACAAACAAGAATGAGATGAAAGGAACATTAATATCCAAACAAAACCTACAAAAGCAGGGAGATCCTTGTTGCATGTCAGCAAGAAAGAAACAAATGATGACTTCACAAAAAAAATCCTCATAAGTTCAAAAACAAGAATTGCTCATATCTGCTGACCACTCAGACCACAGCAAGAGAAACCACAAGTATTCACAAAGAACCAACCAACGGCAAACCCCATTGTCACCACAATGGGACAATATATAGTTGAATGTACTACTACAACAATATAGAAGTTACATATTCTGACACAGACCACCAGGACTGTYTCTTAATTCACAACACAGAATGTGATTTTCATGATCTCTTGATAGCTACTACTAGTACTAGTAGTAGTACTGGAAGTCCACAGCTCTTTCATTGACAACAATCACAGTGACAGCATACTAACAATGCTGAAAATGTCAGTAAAATCATCAATAGAACAACATAAAGTCAGCACAGTTCTTTTGTTTTGTCTAATTTTGTTTCATTGTAAAACCAGTGATTGATGTCATTGCCTGTTTGTTGGGGTACCAATACAATAATAAGAATGATGCTTTTCTATGTTTGGGGTACTTCCCCATTATCCCTCCTGAAAGAAGGTTCTTTGTTTGTCTAGTAGTTCTCACATTCCAGCCAGACTCAAGACAATAAATATTCAAAAGGTTTCAGAATTAAGTTTTGTATCCAACCCAGTCAAAACCAAAGTGTTCCAGAAGTTGATTCCATAATGTTTATGTTCAAAGATTAAATATTTGGCTATTTAGTACGCTCAACAATGATAGGCACATCCTTAGAAAGAAAATTAAGAGAGGATTCTAGTTGTATGCAGGAGTTGGGGGGTCCTTGTGGTAKTTATTGATACATRTGCATATCAAGCATTAAAAATCCACAATCCAATTGTGCTTTTTTTGAATGCCAACTCTTGTGCTTTTTTTGAATGCCAACTTGATATGATAGAGTTGGCCCCCTGATCTAAGATACAGATGTCACTTTTGAATATCTTTTTCACAAGTAAAACATGTCGCATACAGCATCATCCATAACAACATTTTATCTAACTATACCATTTTTTCTATGGAAATTTTGTCATGGTGACATTTGTTGCAATAGAAATATATTCTCTAGCTGTGGACTTCTTATTTTCCTGAATCACTACATGCAMCAATACTGATTACTAGCAACCAGCAGGTAACTATCTGTCCATTGTTGGACATAGAGGAGTCCTCGCTGCAATTTCATGAAGCTACCATAATTCTAGTGGATGGCCATCTTGTTCCAACAACCCTCCCAATTCACACTATCAGCAACACTCTTATTGACACTATCAACAACAATGTATCAATGCCAGGCATTAGCAACAGTACTGCATTAGCAACAGCACATTAGCAACAGCACATTAGCAACAGCACATTAGCAACAGCGCATTAGCATCAGCACATTAGCAACAGTATCAGCAACAGCAACATTATGGTAGCAGCAACACTCCTATCAGCAACTCTGTTGCTACTATTTATGCCTCCCAGCAACAAAMCAAAYTGGTGTTTGACAAGAACAAGAAGGCAGGCAAGAAGGGCATTTGATGAGTCACAGTCATCAGCATTTGAAGAGGAAGCATTGCTTGAAATTGAATCAGATATGGGAAGAGTCTTTGAGGATGTTAGTTCCTCAAGTAAGGAGGAGCTTGTTGAAGATGATGCTAAGCCTAACTATGATTCAAAGGTATCAGGTACTATGAGCCATAAGGAGGAAGTACAAGTAGAGCTCTTCAATGAAATTGAACAGCAGAGCCAGAAGAAGGCATTTGATTAGGATAATGCTGTTGAGCCTTGTGATATTGAGTTCTTTTATTAGACAAATAGAGCTATTGTTAATACTAGAGTCAAAATCACCTTAAGGTCCTACAAGATTACCAGAGGAAGGATCAAAAGGTAGAAAGAGGACAACCTCAAGGCTGGGAAGATGTGGACTTTCCTGGTGGCTGACATATTTATTACTACAGACCCAAGTTTAGGATAGGAAGTGGAGGAAAGTAAGGACACTATCTTCATTCTGAATGTAAGCCTGTRGAATTTCCTAAGCCTTAGCTGGTCCTGGCAAGGAACCTATCCAGGAGCATAAGGAGACCAGATGGAATTCCACTGATGGGAAGGTTCAGTTGAAGATCCAAAAAATCATTTTGCAAGGAAGCATGCTACTGGGGATATTATGTTTACAGGGGAAGGGCAAACTTGATATCTTCAACTCCAGTAGCATGGGCTGACAAAAGAGAGGATCGAAAATGGGATACTCTCTTTTTCTATAAGTTGATCCAGATTCCAGAGAAGCACAGCAGTATCAAATTGAACCTGAGAAGAAGCACACTTTTTATAACAAGGTGATGTGATATACTGATGTGTACATCTCTGATGGRCATCAAAAAGAGTCAKTTACATTGCTTGAAGCAGTTCAGTTTAATGTCATTCTTWTTATGCATGGGGCTTGCAAAGGATCAAGTGAGAACGTCAAGTTCAGATGGGATTCTGTTGAGCAGACATATCCGTGACACTTGTTTGAGACAGTACACTCAATCCTGCCAAAAGGTGAGTAGTGGTAGGGCTACAAGAAGGAAGGGTGGTAAAAGTTTCCTTAACAAGAATGGGAAGTTGCTGGCATATCACAACTTACAGACCATTGCAGAGAGCAAGGCAAATGATAGATTTTGCTTCACTTGGACTAAGTACATAACTCATCWGAAGAAGGCAATTGTGCCTCCCAAGTCAAGGAGCAAAAACATTTGTTATATGTGTGGTGCAAATACTTGTAGCATGTGCAGAATATGTAGAGTCCCTTTATGTACCAATGTTAACTCTGAGAAGAGGGATTGTAATGGCAGTTTGATCCCCAAGTTCTGTCATAGCAACTATCACAACTATGAATTGTTTGGTCTTCTTGGTAGAGGTGATTACTATTCAAGATGAGAAACAACAAGAGAATCAAAGACAGGAGCAACTGGAACCCTCCAAGTAAGGAAGAGTTGCAAGATAGCTCTGAGTATRTGAAATACTGATTGAGCATTCTTGAGAATGATGAGGACACTGGTGGTGTCAATACTAGAGTTAGAGACAACAACAATCTTGTTGTTTCACCAAGGAGTACTACTGATGCAACTGTAAACAGTGAACTTACTCAACCAACCGTTGATAGTACTAGTAGTATTGAGTTTATACCATGTAGTATGACTGGTGGTGCTGGTGGAGTCATTTGACAATGGAAGCAGTGTAGGAGGTCTACAATATATTAATTTCTAATTTAAATATGGATAGATCTACTACTTTGTTTTGATTGCTCTGTTAGTAGCTACAAATTGCTTTGGTTGCTGATTCAGATCCCAATTTGGTTGTTGGTTCATTTACTTGTTCTCCTTTGTTACTAACATTACAGGGATGTTGTATTTTCATTTGGGGGTGACCATAAAGCGTTTGGCATTGCCAACAGCTAACTCTTGTACTGRCTCTCTGGCAGGGGTCATAATAAAGAGGGGAGCACATAATTTTTTTTTCCATCACAAAGAAGTGTGAGAAACAAATAGAAACTCATATTCCACATGTGGTCCAAATTTCCAAAAATGCACCCCAGGATTTTTTGTAATTCTCATTTTTATAGTACTGCATAATACTAGCAAAACTATCCAACCTTTAAGCAGTTACAGCTTTATCAAAAATAATACTATTTTAATTTTTGAGTAGTCACTCTAGCCCAGCTTTAAATAGTACTGATTCTGAATATACCACTTTCTTGGATATTGTCTTGATATTTCTTGTGGTACTATTTTACTATTGAAAAATGAACATAATTTCCATGATACTATTAGTAGTACTGGTACTAGTACTATTATTATTATTATTATTATTATTATTATTATTATTATTATTATTATTATTACTATTATTACTATTATTACTATTATTACTATTATTACTATTATTACTATTATTATTATTATTACTATTATTATTATTATTACTATTATTATTATTATTACTATTATTATTATTATTACTATTATTATTATTATTACTACTACTACTACTACTACTACTACTACTACTACTACTACTACTACTACTACTACTACTACTACTACTACTACTACTACTACTACTAGCTAGTATGATTACTACTATGATGAGGTTCACCTCAGTACCAGTATTAACAATAGTATTTACAGTACTAATAGGTTGTAGCAATACTACTACTACCAGCCACCACTAGCAAGAGTGGTGCAAGAAGGAACAACAAAGATAGTAGTACTGAACATAGTACTACTAAAAAAGAAACAAACTAAATTACATGTAACATTACTATAGCATAATTAATAATAGTACTACTAGTACTACTATATAGTTGTATACATTTGTAATGAATCTGTGAAACAAAAAAAAGAAGCATTGAAATCAGCCATATTGAGCTTATTTCAACTCAAAGAGGTGCACAGAGTAGTAGGTACTTATTGTGAGACGGAGGTACTAGTAGTAGTCGTTTGTATCGTTGAGTATTGGAAACGACGGACAGACRAAAGAYGGAACCAGATGACCCGGCACCRCAAAAGCCGAAGGCCCCACTAACTCAAGACCCTCGTGCCTCAACAAGCCTTGACTTCATTCTCGAAAGTATTGCGGTGAAGGACTGCCACGGTAGGATGAGACATGATGTGACACAGGAAAATTCACCCCCTTCCCCGCCCTTTAACACAGGAGGAAAACCAGTCGCAAAACAGTAATGGGTCAACAGCGCCAATACGCCACCRCGCAAACTCTAGACCATTACACATTTCACTACTCRTAGATCTAATCACATYAGTCAAATCCTAATTTCGGCAAACACGATAAAGTGCCAATAACTGACCATTTAGATCTAGCACTCCCAAACCTCAGGRGTACRACCATACRGTACCACGGTACCAAGAGGCCCAGAATGTCCCGTGGCATCAGTCCAACCAGAGCCATACGGAAGAAGGAAAGACAAGGCTACAATAACTCAGGCTAAGTGCAGGAAGTGAGGAACAACTACACTTAGTCGTGCAGTATTACTCTGTGCAATATCTTGCGAACAAATCTTGCGAATTTTGAATTTTAGATACCGTACGTAATGTACGGTAATGTACGGTAATGTACGGTAAGATTCTCCAATCTTCAATCAAAACCTTTCTAATTCGTTTTTTCGCCGAAAGAACCCCGTAACCTTTTCTTTCCAAAACATCCAAAGATCTCGCTTGCAGAAAACAATCAAATTTATCATGGTCAGGCTAGGAAGTATTGAACACGAAGGAAAGACAAAGCTCGTTGCCCAGCTCCCGTCTGGGTATTGCGATTTATCATCTGTCGCGGACAACGCTCGCGATTTTTTCTTGGTTGGGGGTTTGGAGCGAGCGAAAGAACTGGTGGCGGCAGCTTCGTCGTCTCCGAACTCTTCACCAAACTTCATCCCAGCGGATGGCTGTCGGCTGTTAGCTCCCATAGATGGGTCACTAGTGGGGAAGTTTTTGTGCATTGGAATGAATTACAAGGCAAGTTGGTCGATACCTCGAAACAATTTGATGGCACTATGAAATACCGTTGGCTACTGACATCTGGCACTCACAAATTGTTCTATGATCAAAACATACAATCGACCAAAACAGGACCACTGTACCGAACAAAACGTGCCTATTCCAGTGGAACCAGTCGTATTCTCCAAGTTTGGTCAATGTATATGTGGTCCGGACACGCCCGTCGCAAAAGACGAGCACACTGAAAAATTGGATTACGAGGTCGAGTTGGGAGTTGTAATTGGAGCCTCCGTGCCGCGTTATACTTCCAAAGAAAATGCATCTAAGTATATTGGAGGTTTTACGGTTATACATGACGTGTCTGCCAGGTATGTATTTGAGGTGTGGCAAATTTGCACGGATTTTAKCGGTCTGTCTTCCGTTCTCTTATTTTTCTTTCATTGGAACAACTATTGATCTGGGTTTATGATATAAAAGAGACTGGCAATTAGAAAAAAATGGAGGTCAATGGCTCTTGGGAAAATCAATGGATTGTTATGCGCCAATGGGTCCGGTTATCGTTACCACAGATGAATTGACCCTAGAGGCGGTGCACAAAACGGGCATTCGATGCCGTGTCAACGGAGAAACTCTTCAAGACTCGAATACTGATGAGTTGGTTTTTGGTGTTGATGATATTATTGCATATGTGTCGCGTTTCATGACACTTCGTGCTGGAGACATTTTGGCCACCGGTACACCCCCTRGTGTCGGATGTTTTAGGAGCCCTCCGCGATGGCTAGTGCCTGGCGATGTGGTGGAATGTGAAATTGATGGAATCGGCACACTAACTTCGCCAATTGTAGGTCCGTTGGCGAAGTCAGGACCAGAAAATGCAGGCAAGAATGCTGCATTGGCTGCTCATTCACCCTTGATGAGAGGGCAACTATATGGAAAGGCAACTGCGTGTATCGTTACAGGGGGTGCAAGAGGACTCGGGTRTGGAATTGCAGCCCGCTTGGGTATGGAAGGTGCAAACAGAGTAGTAATCGTGGACTTGGATAAAGCATTGATTGACGAAGTTTGCAAGAGATTGAATAGATTGATACCGAGCTGCCACTATGTTGGTGAACCATGTGATGTAGGAGACGATAAGGCAGTAAGTGAAAGTTGGGGGAAAATCGCTGAAAGTAATAATGGAAGGATAGACATCCTCGTCCAAGCAGCGGGAATAGTGGGTAAAACCAACCTGAAGACAGAAGATGTTGATCCTGAAAATTTTGATGCCGTTATGCGAGTCAATGTCCGTGGTATTTTCAACGGATGCAAAGCGGTCCTTCCTTACATGAGAGAAAAAAAGTACGGCAGAATTGTAAACATTTCTTCGATTGCAGGAAAGGATGGCAATGCGGGTATGCTTGCATACTCAACAAGTAAGGCGGCTGTTATCGGACTGACCAAGACAATCGGGAAGGAATACGCCGAGATGGGCATTACCTGCAATGCTCTCTGTCCAGCGGTTGTACGAACCCAAATGGTTGAAGCAATGCCTACCGAGCAGGTGAAGTATATGACGGACAAGATACCAATGAAGCGGTGTGGAACAATTGATGAGATAGGTACGCCTCTCTAATTTTCGTTGATCTATTGCAAAACCAAGAGAGAACTCTAATGAATCAATTCACGTGTCGGATCTTTTTTTTCTATGTGTTCGCGTGTAATTTTTTTGTTAATTTTTGTGAATGTTGTCTCACCTACGAACATTTATTTTCTTCATGGCGATTATTTGATTTCAGCTGCAATGGTGGTATTCATGGTGTCGCCGGAGACAAGTTTTACAACAGGATTCTGCTTCGATGCCACAGGTGGAAGGTCTGTGTACTAGATCTTTTATTTTTAAATATGGTTTTATCAGTCGCTCATCGCAGCCAAGAATAAGACGTATAAATTTTGTGCGGTACTCAATGTAATAACCCTCAGGAATTGCTCATAATTCATCATAAGAAATAACGATGGGATTTCGTATTAATCTCTGGGATAGGGACGTCTCAGATTGAGTTCTTCTCTATTTAATTCGACTCCAAATCCAGGTTTATCCGTTAGATCAACGTAGCCATTCTTTGGCAGGGGTTCGTTTTTAAACAAATTGCCGAAAAAGCTGACAATCGTATCTGCCTTTGGAGACATGACTAGGAACTCGGCAATGGGGCAACTGGGAAAACAAATTTGTAAATGATATGAATAAACAGAGGATCCGTGTGGTATGACAGGGATATCAAATGCACTTGCAAGAGCGACAATGCGTCGTGCTTCAGTCATTCCTCCACACCCTTGTGTGTTTGCAGTTGATTGCAGAATTCGGTATTCGCGAGTAGAAAGGTGAGAGAGATCTTCAAAATTCACCAACAAAACACCTTGTATGACCACTTACAGGTAATGTCGGGCTGAAGAACGTCGCAGCAATTTTTCTGCAGTAGCATGCGGAAACCCCACCGGGTGTACTCGTGTTCTCCAGTTGTCAAGAGCGTCGTACTGACTTTTTCCTTGATTTTGGCATAGCCATCATATTCATCAGGAGGTAGGGTTTCCTCGATCCACTTTACGTTATATGGTTCACATCGTCTAGCCAGCTCAATAGTGTAGGGAACTGTGAGACTCATGTAACAGTCTATCATCAGGGGATAGTCTTCCCCAACAGCCTCGCGCCACTTCTTGACCATCTCGATATTTTTTCTCATGCCTTCTTCTCCTTGGGCAGGTCCAAACGGCAGAGGAAATTTTGCCCCATGAAAGCCCATGTCCTGGTACGTGGAGTGGTACATACACGTGAGTTGGATAATTGGCGGCACCAAATTTTAATGTTAGATAGTTAATGGACGGCAGAATGATGTCGATCGCAAAAAAATACAGAAATACAAATGTTGGCGCCTAAAAGGATCCGATCGAACAAAAAGTAACAGAAAATGAAATATAAATGATTGTAATTACCTTTGCAAAGTCTGGTCTGCAGTAGAACATATCGACGAATCAGCTGACTGTGAGAAGTTCCTTCGGTTGAAAAACTACATGTACAAAACATATACGATTCCGTAGACACGTGTAGTTGASCCTTACCTCGCCGTCGTGGCGTAGACAGGCATTTTCCCCTTCGTTTTCCCACCTAATAATGCATATACAGGCAGGCCTCGCAGATGGCCCAGGGCGTCCCAAATTGCCAAGTCCAAAGCACTCAAGGCCTAATACGAGTATGAAAACATCGGTTTCATTTGTTCCAGCGAAAGAAAATAGAAGATGTACGAAAGGATAGCTGCGATCAGTATTTTGACCCGCGCATTTTTGACAAATAAATTGCATGCAGAACAAACGTCTAAATTTCACAAAAGCAATWATGCTCATCTCAAAAACAGCGAAACGGACCTGTATGGCGATGCCCTTTCGACCATAGTTGATAGTGGATCGCCAGCATTGGTCCCAGATCAGTTCCACGTTATTCGGATCGGCTCCTTCCACGAAGCGTGCCAGGTGTTTTTCAACGATGTAGCAGGCAGCGTCACCACCGATGCTGATTCCCACCCCCACCATGCCGTTCGATAGTTCCACTTCCACAACGACGCTACCCATGGCGTCGATACCCCAGCTAGTTCTCGATTTCCTATATTGCTCGTACACCGACATTGGATTGGCAATGTCGGAATCTACAATCCAGTGGCCTGGTTGTTGCTTGTGACAATCGGCTCCCCCACCGGATTCTTTTTCTTGTGCATCGTCGCCAAATACAAAKGCGCGGACTGTATTTTTAATTCGGTTGCCCAGAGAGTGTCATAACCAAGAAGCAAAGTCGGTGGTATTAGTGTGTTTCTTTGTCTTCGTTATTTCTTTTCATCACCGTTGATATCCACTTCTTCAAACCAATCAAACGAACGAAACCCACCATGTTTTATCACTATAGTATTTTTGCTTGGTGTAWYCACGGGATGAGGACCTAAAATCAACGACATTCTTATTTCTCTCAACGATCAGTGGATTGGAAAGGTTGCAATATAGCAGGTAACGCTTCCTCGCTAGAAATACTGGTTACACGACAGCACGAATGCACTGAATTGAAATGGTATCGGGGACAGAGAGAAGAACGAATTGAATGAATGATGACAGAATGTTGAATGAGACTGAGGCATGATGGAGAATGGAGAATGTCATCTTTTCCTTCGTTTCAAAAAAATCCTCCCTTTCTCAGAAAACCGTTCCTTATCTGTCTGGTACCGTACGGTAGTACTGGTTTCTACGGCTTGTACGTTCCCATGGTATCTTTTRTCTTTTGGCAGCTGTGCCAACTGCCAACTCTTTACGGATATTTTGASGTACGATACCGTATGTACGCATCATAAATACTGTATCTGGATACAACGGATAACTTTCGCGCAATTTTGACATCGGGGATAACGATACGTACCGTATGTCCGTCGAACGTTCCCTATTCGAATCGAACAACATCTAGGAATCCAATAATCCAATAAAAAAGTTCGAATTTTGTGATGATCTTACCGTAGCGTACGGTAACGTACATCTTCTTGATCGATAGATCGATGATATTCGATGATATCGTTGGACCTTCATCGCGTATGATACCACAACCAGAAAGAAACTAACCTGAAAGTCGCCCATTCTCTTTCGGTAGCTCAGTCAAGAAAGTGTGCCACGGAAACTGCACTCAAAGCTAAAAATCAAGCGCGATGGCAACCAAAAAGAGGCAACGCCTCAAGCAAGAGGACGAAGAAACCGAGGCAGATTCATCGTCCAGGAACAAGACAACCAAAAAAAATAAGACAGCAGCAACAACGCCAAAGACGGTTGCGTTCGATCACCGATATATTGTTGCACCAATGGTGGGGGCATCCGAGCTTCCTTTTCGGCTGCTATGTCGGAAGTATGGAGCCCAACTTGTGTATACTCCTATGATGCTGGCCTCGCAATTCGCTACTTCGGCAGAATACAGGAAAAAGGAATTCCAAACCACTCCGTTCGATCGACCTCTGGTTTGTCACTTTGCAGCAAACAATCCAAAGGAATTTGCCCGAGCCGCAGAGCTTGCCGAACCTCATTGCGACGCCATCGATTTGAATCTAGGTTGCCCACAAAGAACAGCGTATGTAGGCCACTTTGGATCTTACTTGTTGGATGCCAAGGACCGGCCCCTCGTCTTGAGCATGGTGCAGGCAGCTGCTAGCGCTGTTAAAATTCCTATTTTTGTTAAGATTCGGTTGTTGGATACGTATGAAGATACATTGGAATTGTGCCGGCAGTTGTACGATGCGGGAGCCTCTTTGGTTGCGGTTCATGCCCGGTATCGAGCAAGTTTCCACAGGAAGGGAGCAGGAGCCCGCGATGGTCCTGCTTTGTTGGATCAGGTGGAACGGCTCCGACGAGATCTTTCCAGCGAAAAATACACCGGCAAGCTTTTGATAACAAACGGGAACACCATCACATATGAGGATGTTGTCAACAACTTGGAACTCACAAAGGCCGACGGTATTATGAGCGCAGAAGGTATTTTAGATAATCCTGCATTGTACCTAGGACGGTTCGGCAGTCGACCAAACGGAGATAAAGACAACGCTGTACAAAGTGGAGAAGATCGCGCTATGGACATCGAAGTAAAGGGCGGCAAAGTTTTCGATGAGTGGCCAAAGCGAAAGAAATGGATTAAAAAGCTGAAGAAAATTGCATCCATAGAATCAAAGATAGAAAAGAAAGGCATAGCTTCAATAAGTTCGAAAGAAAAAAAGAAATTCTCCCAAAAGATGGAGCTTGAACAGAAATTGAGAAAATGCAGCGTCAGTGGTTCCACCTTTGTTTCCTTGAATGAGCTTTATAAAACCTCAGACGACAAGGTTCAATTGGCGCTCGAATACTTAAACCTAGTTCGACAATATCCTGCGACAATGAGGACAGTCATCTTTCACACGAGACGAATCATCAAAGACGAATTGACAACCTACCAAATGATGGAAGAATGCCTTTCTTGCTCGTCGATCGAAGATGTAGAGAACGCAATTTTGAAAATCAAGCATTACCAAGAAAATCCTGGATCCTTTCAATTCGATGTGGAACGGGCTAAGAAAGAGCGCGAGGCTCTCGAAAGAAAGAAAATAGAGGAAGGCAAAAGAAAAGCATACGAAGCACGCATGGTACGGAAGGCTAAACGGGAAAAGAGGGAAGACTTGGAATATTGTGAGTAGATTTCTGACAATGTCCTCCTGAAATGCTTGTGGTTGCTCCTGGGAACTGAACAATCAAAACTGTTGTAATGTAACCTCATTCTCTGTTGAACGGCAAAAATATTTCATTGTAATCCTATTACGCTCAGACCTTCGACAGGGTGCTGCGGTCCCGACTTTAAAAACAGTAGAAGAGATGAAGATGTTGAGCAAAGAAAAGCAGTTACAAATGTGGAAGGAGCGCGATCATTCGCAACACTGCATGATGTTTCACTTGTCAGGAGACTGCTCACGTGGTCGAGCATGTGCCTTTCTACACGTCGCATCTAAAACTAAAAATTCGTTCGTAGAGAGCGACGAAGTTGSCGGGTAATACCGAATAGTTTGAATCGTGGCGATCRTTACATTCATGATAAAATTAGAGAAGTCAGCCAACCGGTTTTGGACTTTCCTTTTACGAGCATTGAGAAGTACATATCAACGACTTGTAAACTTCCTTTGCGGCTTTTGCTCCACTTTCCATAGCCGACTGGACCGTAGCGCACGTATTTGTGTTTGCATGCTCTCCCGCAAACCAAATTGTATTCTTGATAGGCGTCGCCAAATAGTCACGGTGTGTGAGTACTGGCGCACTTTCGCCCGGACGTCTTGTGCGTGCATTGCATACATACCCAGCACCAACCGAAGGAGAGGAATAAATTCCCAACGTGAACTCGTCTTCTGACCAATCATGAAGGACAAATGATGAGCATGTTGGTGAAGAGGGCTCGAGGAAAACGCTACCTTCATCGTTACTCGACCCAAAAATATGATTGACTTGCGCCAGCATCAGGTCTTTAGCAATCTCGGACTTGGATCTTTCGTCTTTGGCTGCAACCATCTCCATCAGACGATCTCGACAGTTGGCAACGCAGAAACCTGTCAGAAACACACTAGTTTCGTTTCGGCGAAGCCAAATCTGAGAGAAAATTTCTCCAGGACAGAATAGGAGTTCTGTATTTCTCATTAATTTTGAGATACACTTGATGTCAATTCCAACGTTCAAAAGCATATGAGCCTTTATTCCAGAGAACATATTGATGGTATCGATTGCGAGTTGCATGTCGTTAGGGATCTCGTAAGCATCTCTGAAGCTGATGTTTTTAGCTTTCAGAACACCTAGTGGGACAGTCACAATGCATTTGTCGCACACAAAAACTTCCCCGGTTCTTGTCAGAACTCTAACTGGGACATTTCCCCCCTCTTCCSATTGATTGTTTAAAGCACTTCCAATATCTGTAACGGGACACCCTACCTTGATGTTTATTCTTATGCCCGATTTTAAAGATTCCCCTCTCTTGTTGATTTCGGCAATGCGATCAATATAGTAGCTAATAAATTCATTGAAGCAATACTCTAATCGGAAATTGCTTTCGGTATATTCCCAGCTCCATTCTTCTCGACTAGCTTCATGTATTCCCAAGAACTTGTTAGAGGATCCAGCTGTATGGGAATATAAGCTTTCTAGTATGTCTTTGACTGTAATGATGTCTTCCGTACTTGGAATARCCTCTTTCTGAGAAAGATAATGTTCAATAAATTCATCCAGAGACATGTCTCGCTTATATTTGTTGTTGACATCAATGGCACCAGCTGAATCAAACTCTTCGCTTATACTCTGCAAAGTCTGCCAAATATTATTTGCTTGACGGATCAGCTTCTGGAAATGACATTGCTTTGCTCCCGAMTTTGACGTTCTCCTATCAATGAGGTCTCGAGGCTCATGCAATGGACAGCATTGTCCATCAAGCACCACGTATATGTGGGGTGCTGATCTTTGCTCTGAGGACAAAGAAAGGGAGCTTCTCCTTTTCACAAAAGAATTGTTTGATGGATACTCTTCTAATGATGCACAAAGATCAAATGTCTCGTGAACTGTCCATTCTTCGTGATCCTCGATCAATTGATTGGCCATGCTATCCACACCATGRACGAACTCGGCACCAATAGGCACTGACCAAGGCGYAAAGCAATCAACTTTTTTGGACTTCGGTAATTGATCGTTGCTGAACAAAAGTGGGGTTTCCTTGGTTTCGCAGTTGACAATTTCGTCCCGTTCGATTTCTTTCTCTGTGATGACTGTTCGTATTCGTCCACCAACGAATGGACGGGCTTCAATCAATGTAATTGTCAAGGGTGCTACTAATGATCGCGAATCGACATCTTCCATAGAATTATCATCGTACTGCTTTTCTTCTAGGTACTCTTCGGCCAATTTAACAGTAGAGATCAAGCCTGCGATTCCGGCTCCTATCACCACGACATGGTTTGGTTTTTCTTCTTTGGAACATACTGATTCCGAATCGCCGAAGGCATTGCTGATTGTGTCGTCTTTTTCAGCTGGAGTGTCGTTGGACATTGAGTTGGTCATACATTCTTTCATTTCTTGCGTAATATCCTCCCATGGCAAGCCTTGCATGATCTCTGTCTTAGGATTGTTTACCCGAAACCATTTTACGAGTTTGTAGTACCAATTGTCTCTAAACGAATAATTGTCATAGCCAGTCACCGACTGAAAAAAATCTACAACAAAATCATACACAGTTGCGGTTTGTATGGTTGCTCGGCTATCATCGGTCGGGGAGTAGATTAAAAGCATGATTTCGTCGAAACTCTCGGCATCTTCCGATAGAGCTGGTTGTATGTAAGGAAATTTCAGATGGCGATAGCCCAGCCGATGTAAAGTTTCGTGCCGCTTCCTTATCAACGCTGGTGGAGCATCCCCGGCCTCAACGGTGTTGACTTCGGCGAAAATTGCCTTTATTGGCCTCCTCGTGTTCACACTACTGTTGACATTGGTGCTTGACGCCAATGACGAAATATTTTCTTGATGAAGCATCTGCATTGCTTGACACGCAACAGGGTGAAGGCAATCCATGATTCCGAGCCGTCGATATTCTTCTTTTACTACCACATAGGACAACAAGCCGCATTGCGCATTTCGGTAATATTCAAATGCAACACCCGCAACGATTATGAAACTGGTTCTTCCAGTTGATGTATTATCGTTGTTTTTTTGTGCCTTTTGATCGTCTTCCTCTCGTTTGACGACCAACAAAACGTCCATGGTCGGGTACAATTGCGGTGCTCCGTGCTCTTCGATAATGTTTTTGGCTGGATCCAAACAGTAGATCCAATCATCCAAGTCGTCCCGTTCTTCTTCGAGGGGAAAGTTTGGTATCATAAGATCATCATAAAACTGAGTGAGCAACTTCAAATCGAAATATTGTCTCATTGATACCAATTGCAAAGGTATTTCATGGGATTGTATGGATCCCTTTGCCAATAACCGGGCAGAAATGTCTTCGACCGCCTTCGCGGCGGTTTCAGATTCAGTGATGTCGTATCGAATCATTCTTCTCCCTCTCTAATGCGTTGTGTTGCATTTGTCAATYAACTGCCGAGTTATRGGGTGCTTTGAGTCTTCTTTCCTAATATAACGCTGCATGTCGATCGAAGATTTCGTTGAGTGTGGCGGTTAAGCTACCGTAGAATCTCAAWASAGGCAAAAAGTGCATCTCGCCATGCTGAATGCCACTTGATGTGTGGCTACTGTAGGTGTCACACTTCATTTTTCACATACTGTACGTATCGTATGTACGTACTATACCACACGATGGTCCGCAGGATTTATTAGTAATTCGTACGGTACAGTAGAGTMGTACAAGCAGTAGAGTACTCTTACTCGTATCTATGATCATACCGGTATGTTGTCCGTTGTTCGTTCCTACCAGTACCGTATCGTACCATATGKACGAAKCCAATTCGTACACTTGTCAGGAATACTAGGTACGAATTTTGAATTTTCCTAATTGAGTAAAATTCCCTATTCCAAAACTCACGCTAAGCACCCTGATTTGGGAGAAACCCGTCTCGAATCCAATTCCTGTGTGGATTTGGATTCGAAGATTTCAAAATTCTTTCTCGACACCGACGACAACGACAACACCATTCTTCCATCAATCATCAATCGTGATCTTTGAGAGAAGTACGATTGCTCACAAATTTTGACGCCTACCCTWTACTTCTCATTCCACAGAACGTTTGCATCGACCATACTTGTAAAAAACACCCGAGAACGTCGCGTCATTATCTCTTGAGAGTAACCACTTCCTTTACCGCCAAAACAACCGCAATGGTTTTCACCAAAATTGCGAACCCCTTGGTGACGCGGTCGATCAACAGCAATCATTTCCATCGCCACATTGCATCTTTTTCTAGAACCTCTTCAGCATGTTATATCTCCTTGCATCAGAAAGAATATTGGTCGGGGTTGAGAAGGATGTTCATGAGTACATCATCTTTCCCGTCACGTTTGTTTTCTTCGGAGAGCGATAGCAGGTCGCCCTTGGACGAACAAGATCCGTCTGTGCTAAAGGCGAGATTTAAGGAGCGCCTACGCGAAGAACGAAGAAAGTCCTTGATGGGTGGAGGACAAGACAGAATTGATAGACAACACAGCAGGGGCTCACTGACAGCTCGAGAACGACTGGAATTACTTTTCGACGAAGGATCCTTCCAAGAGTTGGATGCATTCAAGACGCACAGATGCAAAGAATTTGGAATGGACGACAACAAAACGCAATTCCCTGGGGATGGGGTGATAACGGGACACGGAAGAGTAAACGGTCGCTACGTATATGCATTTAGTCAAGGTTTGTGCTCAAGTTGTGATGTCTTATTTTGACCATTCGCGTGTACCGTGAATTGTCAGAAAATGAGGAATGACATTCCTGGTTGGTTCAAACAATATCAACAAATCAATCCTTGTGATTCACTGTACTCATTTAGCATGTTGCTACTCAAATTATTTCGTTCAACTCTACTTAACTAACTTGCATGATATTGCCGGGCAATCTTCTGGATGCAGATTTCACCGTTTTTGGTGGAAGCCTTAGTGAAACAAATGCCGAAAAGATAGGTTAGTGAAATTTCCATTATAATTTATGTTCTCTGCCATTAGATCGGTGTATTCTCGGTTGATAGCTAACAAAAACGATATGAACTCATCTATTGCATAATTGGACCCCTTTTCAATAGTTAAGATAATGGAAATGGCGAGACGAGTCGGGGCCCCCATCGTTGGACTGAATGATTCTGGAGGAGCTCGCATCCAAGAAGGAGTGGATTCATTGGCAGGATATGCAGACGTCTTTTTGTCAAACGTTGATTCATCTGGCGTCGTTCCACAGATATCAGTAGTCATGGGACCTTGTGCGGGAGGAGCTGTATACAGTCCAGCCATGACGGATTTCATTTTCATGGTAGAATCCTCCTCGTAAGTTCCGTGATGCAAGATTTCAGTCTGCGCTCGTTATCCTGCATATGCATTGGAAGTAGGTATTTCATTCTACGAGTTCACCAGTGCCGTCTTCTTTCTTTCCCTCTCTCCTCCAGGTACATGTAAGGATAAAAAATGATTTTGCTTTGGTACAAATCTATTACTCTTGGGACTTTCTTTTACCACAGTTACTTATCTTGTTTTCTACTTTTCATACAGGTTTGTCACCGGCCCTGATGTTGTTAAGACCGTTACGAATGAAGATGTCACGAAAGAAGATCTTGGAGGATCGAAGGTTCACGTCAGTAAAAGTGGTGTGGCACATGGGAAGTTTGAAAATGATGTCGCTGCAATGAAAGGAATGAGGCGATTTCTAGACTTCTTACCTAGCTCAAATGACAAGGCGACACTACCAATCAAAGAGTCGACCGATCCACCAGACCGTTTGGTTCCAGAAATAGAGAACTTGGTGCCCGACGACCCGAATACGCCATATGATATGAAGGTACGAGATACTGTGCCGTTGTTCGCCACTAAGGAAAAGTATGCTGACCCAATTGACTCATTTTAATTTTCTTGTTTTCGAAGGATGTRATTCGGCAGATCGTGGATCACGGTGATATTTTCGAAATAATGCCTGAAATGGCCCAAAACATTGTGGTTGGGTTTGCTCGGATGGACGGGCACACCGTAGGAATTGTTGGAAATAATCCGTTGACCTTGGCCGGATGTCTCGATATTAACGCTAGTAATAAAGCTGCTCGATTCGTTCGCTTCTGCAATTCGTTCAATATTCCAATCGTTACCTTCGTCGATGTTCCTGGTTTTTTGCCTGGAACGGAACAAGAATTCGGCGGAATCATACGGCATGGAGCTAAGCTTCTTTTTGCGTATGCAGAAGCATCAGTCCCCAAAGTGACAGTAATTACTCGTAAAGCGTACGGAGGTGCATACGACGTAATGGCAAGCAAGCATCTTCGGGTTGATTCCAACTACGCATGGCCTGGTACAGAGATCGCCGTGATGGGAGCGAAAGGAGCTGTAAATGTTTTGTATCGGGGCAACGTAAGTTCACCAAGAAGACGGGACTCGTGGGAAGAGAAAGCAGTAAACTTGCTTTCAGACATGCCGCTTTGAAAATACTTCCTAACCCCTTGCAATTCTAATTGTCAACCAGGAAAATGTCGAAGAACACATCGCGGAATATACTTCAAAATTTGCAAACCCAATGACTGCCGCCCAAAGGGGATTTGTAGATGACGTCATTGATCCTCGAGACACAAGACGCATCTTGTGCAACGATCTCCGTCTGCTTCGAACTAAATCCATGCCTGAGATTAAGAAGAAACATTCCAATATTCCATTGTAACAGATATAGTCTTCTATTCTCACTAATTACAAACTCTTATCTACCTTTTGAAGCTTTCTTAGATTTGTAGATTACTGAAATATAGCTTGGGTATAAAGATCAACATGGACTGTTGAACGATACGTCAGCTGTACGGTCCCCAACAGAACGCAAAAATTAGATTGGGAGTAGTTAGTAGTAACACTAGTTTTAGTTCACAGAAAAGGGCAATAGACTAGAGCAAATGTCCATCTTTCACAGAAAATACTTCTTTCTGGCAAAATAATGAGTCCTGTACAAAAGTCTGATGCAAAAATTGCAAAAATCTTTACATCAMATTGAATACTGCTAAAATTTGAAAAGGCAAAAAGATCTTCAGTACCTCAATTTTTCAGTTGTCAATTTTCTCATTTCATAGTATGATACTAACTGTATTAGTGGCAATACTGCTACTAGTACTATTTTTTACCACTGGTACTACAAAGGAGAAGCCTTCTTGATGATCTCTTGTGCTGAAACACACTTACCACCTCCTTCTGATACTAGTAGTAGTACATTACAACTGATCCAGAGGGCAAGAAGAAGTGTATAGTTATTACTACTACTATTGATGTGTGTCAATCTTACCTGGCACTCATAATGAYGACATGTTTTCTGCGGATTGTATTGTCTTCTTCTTCTTCAACTATAGTAATAGTATTTTTGTTGTGTTGTTAGTAGTATCTTCTGTCTAGTACTAACACCTTTCATTTTTCTCTTCCTTTATTGAAAATAGTAGGAGAGCAGTGGGCAGTGACAATTGTACTACACACCAGCAGGAGTACTAGCTACTACTAGTACTACTATTCAAGAAATTTAAGTTCACGACAACACAACAAATATTGGCATTCAACTGACTACTATGAGTGTTTCTTGGTGGTACTGTTTGGCAGAGATCAAAAATCGAACTATTCACCAACTTAGCCTTGTGTACTTTGGAAGGTCATGCCTAGTATGGCAAAATGGTGGCCCACAAAATTATGACTCGTAATCTGATAGATTGAACACGATAGAGTACTAGTATAACCTCAACCTACTAGTACTAGTAGTACCGTTATCACTAGTAAAATATCGTTGTCCCTATGACCACCTTGTTACCGTTTGCTTCTWATCGTTTCAGTAGAAGACGAGGTTTCATTAATTTCTAATGTTGTCTACAATGTACAAATTTCTTTAGGAAGGCCATTTTACGACCTATTTATTGCAATCCCTTCGAGGTGTCTCGGCGACTTGTCTTTATGGACGTGTCGGTGAATTACGGTACGGTAGACTTCGCATCAATCTTCAAGGGTTCCGGTGTTGATTTTTTAMGTGCAAACAATAATASAAAGTACTGTAGTGCTGTATCACGAACGACAATCACGAGTGGTTTGTGAATACAGTAAACTTACTCAACTGTAACGATGAGTACCAAGTACAGTACGTACAGTACAACACGAATTAACCTCAAATGTTACTGTATCAGGGTAAAAATTTCATTCCTGTTTTCTTTTCTAAATAAGGATCAGGTAATTCTGACSATGATCGACAGATTCATTCAAATTCTTGTAGCATTCTACCGGTACCTGGTACCGTATGGTACGACCAGCAGATTTCGTAGAAGAATGGGAACTGACATCAGTAACCATTGATATTTTCTAAAAAATCTTCATCTGCTCTGTTTCGATAGTTCGGATTGTGGAGAAGGTTCGGTACACAATTAAATTAAAGTTTTCGACTCCTTAGAAGCGGTCCAAAATCCAGAATTTTTATGATGACACCATTATATTTTTTCGGTGCAAAAGCAATTGTCTTGCTAGGGGGTAAGATGTCATCGAGGCCCATTAACGTAATCTCCATGTAGCTGACGTCCATTCAATAGTTCTTTTTTTCCCCSGCTCCTTTCTATCACCATCAATCCAAATCCAATAAGTGCAATTTTGTAACCTTTGAATTCCTACAGAAACCATTGGATTGCTTCTTCTTCTGATTAGGCACTTTCTCTTGACATTTARAGAATYTTTTGTGATCTCCATTGTTTTAACTCGAGAGGTGACGCACAACAWTGTTTCCTGAGTTCTTTTCCAGACTGATGCCTCTTTTCCCTTTGGAACTGAAAAATYACTGATCTGAAGTTCTTCCTCAAAAACTAGAAGTTATGACGAAATTTTCCACGATTTTTGTTTTTAATGAACATACTAAGTCTCAAGCAAATATTACTTAACACATTTTCTGAAACTCATACCATGTTCCGGTAGATTGTCGGCTCCAATTCAGTTCTGTTCCTTTATGAGGASCACGCCTTCCTCATCGTTCTCGTGTTGTACCGGCCTGGARGTGGGAAGATTTTTGGCCGAACGCCAATAGATGATAATCGCTGTTTGTTGTCCGCACCATAAAAGTTGCATGTGGTACATTCTACCCCACCCGACGATGGCAACCCTGGTTTGATCCAATCAACTCCATTCGATCCAACACCTAACACAGTTTCCCGCACTAGCCTGAGAAGCAGTTTCCCCTCACTAACTGGAGAAGCAGCGCATCCAAGATGATGTCAACTCTAGATACACTCGACATTGACATCGGGAGCAATCCAAATGTCTTGTTCGGACAGCAATTAAATACTAATGTGAATATAAATAGTGATGAATATGCACGGTGCAACCGGTGTGGTTATGGCGGATGTGATGTTCGATTTCTTAGTTGCGGCTGTACCCTACATGCGTGAGTGACATAAAGGAAGTGATTTCTTGAAAGAAACGCAAGCTTTGCCCTTGAAGGCTTTTCACGTTGTGCTTTCCCCTTACCTTGTCCTTTGTTACCACGAACTCAATTCGTTCCTCTTCAACACTTTCCGCAGGCGATGCATGGTACTCAACTCCGATGGTCCCTTGAAGAACTGTCCCTCTTGTAGCCGCCCGGTTACCGGCATGTCACTCTTCCCAATGTCCTTTCGGGAGATCGACGAGGCTCGCAAGAACAGCCAAAGCCTAGCGAACGCCAACCGCGGGAAGAACAGAAAGCGCAAGGGCGCGCCAGGACAAATAAGTGACATTGACACCGTGAATGGTGTTTATGTTTCTGATCGTCGCACAGGTCGATGGACAACAGAAGAAATGGCCTACTGTGATAAGCTGATCGCAAAATTTGAATCTGGGGAACTTCCAATATCTTCGGGTCTCAAGTTGAACGAGTTCCTTGGAAACATGTTGAAGTCCAAGCAGTCTCGTCTAACAAAAAAGATGAAGAACGCGAAGTTGAGTTCGAGAACATTCCAGCGTTGTGCACCCGGCATCATGGACAACAACGAGGTTCGAGAGTTTTCCGAACTCGAGGACTTGTTCTTTCAATCCATTCAATGCCAACAGGAACGTGCAGAGATCAAGTTCCACATGCAGAGAGAATGGCGCGAACAATTTAGCCTCTACTGCTCTTCCGTTTCCCAACCCCTAGATGCCGATTCTTGGTTAAGCAGTGTGGAAGAAATGGACAGACGATCTTCGCACGCCAAGGATGCTGCCAGGATGGCGAAGCGAAAACTGATGATGGGTTTCGCACTTCGAACAGACAGCATGAACCCCTGCAACGGAGTGATTATTGAGAAGACACCATCTGATCAGCGCATTGCTCTCGGTACGCACGGTATCGAAAACGATATCGATGAACAGAAAGAGATCCTTCAGCTCCTGACCGAAGAAGCAAATCAGATAGGTACCACTGACATCAACGGAAAAAGCAGCCTTTTGCATTCCGCTCCCTTCTTGGCGAAAGCCGTTGTCTACCTAAAAAGACACGATGTGCCTTTTGAGCATGTTGAGCTCTGGGTACCTTCCTTTGTCCCTCAGGCGAACGGACAAACCGCTGATGGCGCCGCTTCTAACTGCCGCCTGTGTTTTGCTGGTAGTGCCACAGTGGACGAGGTAGTTGAGGAGGGTTCTAAAACAAAGAAACCCCTCTCTCAGCAAAGTCAATTTAGTTTGCAAGCCTTCGGGGATTACAGCCAAAAGTTTTCCTTCGATGTTGGCTGTGGTCTGCCAGGACGCGTTTATGAAAGTGGGCGTCCAACATGGGAGCAGAGTGTTCAAAATGCACCACACCATCATTTTGAACGCTGCGGGGGAGCTTTGCAGTGGGGTATTAAGACCGTATTGGGAATTCCAATTGCGAGTCCAAATGTTGGGCGAATCGTCGTGACACTGTATTCGTTGCACGATCGTCCCAAGGATCAAGATCTTGTCGGGCGATTATCGGAGGAATTTACCAGAGTAAGTCATCATGTTTTCCAGTTCAGGTTCTCTTGTTTATCTATTCCAAACGACAAGATATCGCTAACGCGAATTATTGATTGTTCATTATTTGCATTACAGCTTCTACCTTCCCCAAAGTGGAAGCTGGTGGTTGATATCGGTGAACCTCCACCTCAACCGCAGCAAGTCGGATCCACAGGGACAGGGTCATCCGCTGACATGAACGGAGTGGACAAGGGCTCAGAAACCGTAAAGGATGACACTGGGCGTGATCCACGTATAGACGATGTTGTCTCTCTTCTTGGAGAGCTCATGCCGTCAGATCCAAACTCTCCATTAGCACCTTATCTCTCGGGATTCATGTCCTTGAGATTGCTTTTGCTTCGATCTTCTCGATCACCAGAGGAAGAAGATCGAGCACGTACTATGCTTGATTCGTACACATCCTACTCACAGGGTGCTAGATCAAAGGCGGATATAGGGATCATGTTGGCCCGCGACTACATGTTCCTATCACAGAGCAATGGCGCCACCAATAACACAATTCAACAACCACAACAACAACATCCAATCCAACTTCAACAGCAACAAGCCAATTTTTTTAATCTTGGGCAGGGTAGCTCTGCAACTCTGTCCGGCAATTCTCTCGAGTTTGATGTTCACAATTCACCTATGCTTGGCCCCATCTCTGCCAATGACACTTTATCTATCATCTCGAACTAATTTTTTTGATGACGAGTCTTCACCAGTTTTCAACTCGAGCATTTTTATTTTGCTTTGTGATACATCATCCATTTTCCATCCATTTATCGATTCAACATTTTAATTTCGTGTTGGCCAATTTTACAACAATCCATCTCACAAACGGTTACGAAGTGTTACGAGAAATTTTATTTATAATTTTACATCTGAACTTTCAATTTTTCCTTTCAGATGATCAATTGATGTACTAATTTTAACGAACAAACAAATAAATCCAATTTTATTTTATATTTTTTGACAAATATAGTGTTGACAAAATGAGAAAAAGTTTCGTAATTCTCTTCACGAAGTCCTGTGATGAACGATCTCGGTCGGCTTCCTTAGTCGCTCAGATATTTTCCGCGATCTCTGAAGGTTGAGAGTCAACTCAATTATTTCTATTGCAGTCAGTTAGGATCTTTGAAAGGCTAAATCAACATTTYTAAGGTGCCCTTGTTGCAGAGGTAAAACCAAAAAGTGATTATCTTAAGTGTTACGAATGAGTATTCGTAGCTTGAAAAATCTAGAAAAAATTGTTACCCAATTCCCTTTTTATCATTCTGTAAGGAAGAAATGCCGCCCGCGTGAACCATTTGATGTTGCTGTGCAAAATGACTCAACGCGGCAATTCCGTTTTGACTTATCGTATTCTGACCATTTGGGGTTGCGTGAGTTGGAAAATGTCCCAAAGACGAAATTGTGCCTTGCACATGATTAGCAGGTGTTGGGACGAGGGTGTTGTTATTGGTATTGGTGTGTACAATTGGCGCTGGTGCGGTTGATATCGACGCAGGAGCAATCGACACACCAGGATTTTGGTTCTGATGTACAGGGTTAGATTGTGCAGGGTGAACTCTGGGCACTTGAGTATGCGCTTGCATTTGTTGTGCAGCAGGGAGTATATTGTGTTGTTGATGCTGCTGCTGAATATTTTGTAGGCAATGAACTTGGCCCAATTGTTGTTGTTGTGGCTGTTGATGCTGAACCTGTTGAATAGGTTGCMGTGGCTGGGTGTTATGTTGGATGATTTGTTGCTGTTGATGCAACGATTGATGATTTTGGGGCATCACGGCAGTGTGCTGGCTTGAAGTTTGTGTCAAAAGCATGTAATCTCTCGCAACCATCCATGCAGTTTCAGTGCTATTTCTCCCCGAAGACAGATACGACGAGTAAGAATCAAGCATTGTGGTTGCTAGCTCATTGTCTTCTGATGTCTTGTTGCGTTTCAATAAGAGTAGACGAAGCGCTGTAAATCCTGGAAGATACGGGGAAAACGGAGAGTGACGATGTGTTGGAATGTTTTCTGCCAACAGCTTCAACATATCTGGTATCCTCTTGTCATTCGTTTTACCGTCCGGTTTCGGAGGAGCGGACCCAACATCGACGACAAGTTTCCATTTAGGTGTCGGCATGAGCTGCAAAGAAATAAAATGGTGATTAGTACATTTGTTAAAAACCTTTTGGAAAAAATTGGTAGCCCTCTCACGGATTTCTTTTCTCTTGAAGGAGTTGGGGACGGGAATAAAGAACAAAAATCTTACCTTCGTCAGCTCATCAGTTACACGTCGTACCATTTCTGGGTCACGCGTCCTGTCGCTCCGTGAATACAGCAGCATTACGATCCGTCCCACGTTCGGACTCGGGATAGGCACGCCCAGCACAGTCTTCACACCCCATTGGGCTGCTCCACCACACCTCTCGAATTGGTGGCTGGGTGCATTTTCCACTCCTTGTTCCCACGAACATATTCCCGAGCTATAAACCCGACCAGGAAGACCGCAGCCGACATCGAAGGAGAACTTGGAGCTATATTCTCCAAATGAGTAAAGGTCGAACTTTATGTTAGTACACAAGGGAATGGCACGCCCACCTCCCGATGGTATTTCTGTATCGGTACTAGCATACCCAGCAAAACATAGGCGGCACTTCTGCTCTGCTCCGCTTTTGTCATCGGTACCCATCAAGTTTGGCTCGTTGTCTTGTGAAACAAACGATGGTACCCACGCATCAACATGTTCAAAAGGGAGCTGATGCCTTTCTATGTATTGGATGACTCGTCCCACAAAGGGTGACGAAAAGTCCTTTATCGATCGTGCTCTGTTTGCTTGCTGCTTATTTTTTTGAGACGACAATAAGGATGACTGGTTAGCCATGGTAGTAATAGTGTTCATTGCCGAGTGCCCCGAAGACATGACTTCGTCACTTCTATGCCCATCCGACATCAAAGATTTTTCGATGAAAACGCCTCGTTCTGGATTCATCGCATCTTTCGTCAAAGCATATCCCATCATAACCTTCCGTCGTGCCATTCGTGCCGCGTCCTTCGCTTGCGAGGCTCTCCGATCTAGTTCCTCAGCACTTGACAACCATGCGTCTGCCTCAAGTTTCTGTCCCATGGAAACGCAGTACGTACTAAAGAACTCTCTCCATTCCTTCTGCATATGAAATCGTATTTCTGCCCKTTCCATGTCACACTGTATTGACTCATAAAATGCCACTTCTAACTGGGAAAAGCTTTTCGCATCTTCGTCATCCACAACAAATCCAGCATTAGGTTTGTAGGTTTTGGCGCTCAGTTTTGCATTTTTCATCTTCTTCGTCAGTCGTGATTGTTTCGACTTGAGCATGGTGGACAAGAAGTCGTTGAGTTTTACGCCTTCGGAAATAGGCAACTCGCCTTTTTCGTAGGCTGTAATCAGTTTGTCGCAGTACTCAGTTTCTTCTGCCGTCCATCGTCCAGTACGCAGATCGGATCCATCGCCAGACTGATCGTCTGTYCCGTTGCTTCCAAGAGAGTTGGATGGATTCAGTCTGGCAATGGTCGCATTTTTTCGTTTCTTYCCCCTTTTCGAACTAGGAGCCATGCTCGCAGCAGCAACTCTTGCCTGGTCGATCTCACTGAAGTCCATCGGCAGCAGGTATATTGAGCTTAAAGCGGTATGGCACGAAGGACAGTTCGTCAGGGGACGATTTTTACTGACTTGCAAACACCTCTGCGTCGACACAAGAAGAGACACCATTATGAGCAAGAGAGAAATGGTCAGCAACGTAAACATGATATGAGGGAGAGGGAAAAGCAAAAAGAAATAGTGAGCGACAAGCAAAGTGTTTRCAGAGATGTACAAGTTGTTCACAGACATTATTGCGTCTTCTCATTTTCCACTCCAATGATTTTTCAAACAAGATACGAGGCGCTCAATCGAACACATACCGCGTGGAAAAGACACCCGCACGGCTTGATCTGTAGATCACATCCAACGTGATGGCAACGGCGACATGCGTTCGAAGCGAAAGACAAAGCTTGCTGCTGCTGTGGGTTCACGGCAAAACCATTAGGAAAGAATCCAGGAGGACCGTGGGAACTCCCCAAGACAACGCCGTTATTCATCGTTGCTTATCGTGACAGGGCGCAGACAATGATCCAAATTCGCCGGGAGGATGTGCGGTCTACTACGGATGAGATAAAGCCCTGAAATGATGTCGTTCAGGGTTTTCGGAACGACAAGAAAAAAAAGTTACAATTCGAAGGAGCACATCGGACGGAAGATAGCTCATTCATTTGTGGCGTAGTCTTCWAACTGGTAAATACTGTACAGGGAACAGCGTTTGATGGATAGTTTTGAACGGGTAGCTAAGTTGTTTATCAGAAAGAACTGCCGGCAGTTCAATGGACGAYAGGGTCAAATGATTTAGAACTATTTGCAAACCATTCTCAAAAGATGTTCCGTATTGTAAATTATAGCGTARGGTAAGACAATGAGCATCCCCTCGAAAAAATTATGAAAAATGTTCCCTTGATTTCTTCCGTAGGTACTGTTCGATTTTTTCCTCGCGACCAAAAAACTTCATTATAGTTGTGAAACCGAAATTATACANCCCAGAGAGCAAAAAGTACCTCCTCATGGGAAAAGAATAAGAGTTTTTAAGGATTCGCGCGTGCCCTTTTTCGGGAAGCTCCATCTCAGCAACCAGTCGTTGTCTGACAGTGTTCGACATATCCAAAGATGCAGGAAAAAGAGTACTATGACTAGTTTGCAGTGTCATTGTCAAGCAATGACTTGCTATCGAGAAGAAGCTTCCCAAAAAAGGGCAGCGTATGTATTTTTGATAGTTAGAAATAATCAGTTTTAGATATGCCTGCCGTTATTTCGACTCCCCTCTCTGAAGGACGACTTGYGGGCGTGACTAACAAAAACTAGCTTGAAATTTTTGGATGACACTTGCTTTTTTCTGTTTGTACTGTTAGAATATATATGCCTTAACCAAAACTTTAAAGGTCGAATTAAAGCCAATTTTATCTTGTATGCGTTAATGAACACCATGGCTATATTCGTCTTGTTATAAGCTTTCGATCCATATATACATTGATAGCAGGGGTTACACACRTTCCCACAGAGTCAAAACTGCTCCTCCTGATTCTTTTCCCATGAGGAGGTAAGTAATAATTTGAAGTTCTAAACTTCGATTTGAAGTTATGAACTTTTGCTGGTACATCATGTACCAGGTTCTACTGAGCTARWTTTTTAAAATGACTGAATGGACAAATCAGGATTCCCCTCAAAACAAAACAAATGGTTCAGGGCAATTTAAAATGGTTTGAGSTGATTCAATCATGAATCAATCATGAATGCCATCCAAAAACTAGCTCAGTAGAACCTAGTAGACTTTCTACGTGAAGTTCTTAACTTCAAATCAAAGTTTACTAGAACTTCAAATTAAAACTTTTTGCTCTCTGGTGGGTGAGAGCACTTGCGCCCCGCACAAAATGATGTGCAATTGTTACAAACTTGTAGTATGTTTAGGTCTGTTTTAAAGATTTGTACTGGGCATTGAGCAATGATACAACAAAACTTTTCCCGTGATAATAACCAAGACCTCAACTGCGTACTACATTTTCTGGTACGTTTTGGTTACATGAGTAACATCACTGAGATGGAGAGCTTTAGCTTAAGATTGAAGTGAGCTTCTTACTCCAAGTACTATCTTCAATATCCCCACCAACAACAAGCAACAAGCTCTTGAGCTTGTTGCTGGGGATGTTGATATTACTAGTACTACTACTAGTACTACTTCTATTACTAGTAGCCCTGAGCAAAAGGCAGCAGTTATTTGTTATGTAATTGTTGAAAGAGCTCAACATTACCATGATGTACTAATGCAGACAACAAGGAAAACTAATTGCTGATATGCAGGAGCCCCTGATATGGATAATTCTCCCTGATAGTAGTACGGAGGACAATTAATTGCTGATATGGAAGTTGCTCCTCCATGATCCGGATATTGATTAATAATTGCTCATATGAAGGATACTCCCTGATATGGATTTTGATTAGTTGCTGATATGGAGGACACTCCCTGATATAGAGGATGCTTCTATACAATAGACTTGCTGATACAGAGGACACTCTTGCTGATACAAATTGGGTTCTTGCTGATTGATACATCATACTAGAAAACTGTGATTTCTACTACTGTATTTTCTACATTACCAGTTCGTAATACTAGGTTCCCAAATAATTTTCTTTTTTGTACTTAACAGTGTACCTGTTGAGGTGTTGTGTGTGCCTTGTCCTCACAAGCCCATGGATATATTTTTGCTTTTTCCAGAGGACCTAGGGGAGCAAAAATTCTATTTTCAGACCTAACCAATAGCAGAATCATAATCTATGTAAAATTTTGTCTAATAACGTGCTTCCTGAAGGTCATATATATTGATCTCTGCTCCAAGACAAGCCTTGAACCAGTTCTGCAAGCAAGAAGTTAAGAACAAATGCCCAYGGACCTTAACAAGAACCAAGAACAAAGCAGTTATCGCAGGTGAAATAATATATAACAAGGAGATCTAGAAATGCCCATTGCAGAAACTAAATACACAGTCTGCTTCTCCTACTACCAGGGCRCAGTCCACCCAGCAAAGCACAAAGAAATTCACCAACAAATCAAGAAGGAAATAAAGAGAATCTTGTGGGTTGGTACACTTCAAAATGGAAAATGGTTCTGGTGGCCCAATCACAAAAAACATAGAATCAACCTAGGACAAACCAGCTTCGAGATCCTAAACCATTGCACAGACATCTTCCCCTACCTCAGGGGGGCTTGCCACAAGAAATCTGGAGGAACTCATTGGGAAATCAAGGAAGTTCAGACCAAACTTGCCCCTGAAAACTGCCCATTTTACCCCAAAATCCCTTGTTTTGCCAATTTTGGTACATTAGATTTTAGTCCAGCCAGTCATTACTGGTAAATACTAGTAATACTACCCATGCTTTTTAAAGGCCCTGTAGGACTCCAAGCTAGCTCTAGCTAATTTAGGGAAAAGAAGATAAACATGAACTGTACAGAGATATTCATGAGGTTTGGTTGCATCACTGTGAGTAAAAATTTTGTGCAACCATCAATACACATCCTTCCAACTTTGTTTWAGTAGTAGATAGTAGTATTGCAAATATTGGTCTGAGGATGAGGAGCAACTTCTCCTCCTCCATATTATTAGACATCCTGCCTTACAGGTCAAGAACATTTGAAACATCTTACTCATATACATCATATTCAAGAATTCACAGCGGGTGGTGACGAAAGTCTGCACTCTGTTTGAAATGAAATCACAGACTTGTCCATCCCGCACTCACCTGTTCCCAGAGGATATGGAAGCCTTCTTATCAACTGCATCTACTTCCATGCTCACATATTATCATCAAGTCTACRAGAAGACGATTCTAGCAAGTGTCAATCAAGCGTCGAGCACTTCGGTCTCCAACACTTGCCCTATTACCCAGTACTTTATGCCAATGGTGCCTCATAGTAAGCAACCACTGGAGAGCATCACACAAGATTCACTGGTCTTTGACGCCTACTCCAAAAAGAAGCGACACAAACAACCAGTTGTGCCAGATACTTCTTTGGCTCATCCTGTCAATTCTTCCAGTTTACTTCAAACCAAGCTCAGTCAATACTTTTAATTCCAGTGAAACAAACCCCTGTTCGCACTTCCACTAACACTCCTTGGAGGGAAATGCCGCCCCCTGGAGCAGCTAGAAGCATTCTTTCCACCAAAAGATACGGTTCTGGCCATGTAGCGCCTCTTCTAGCTCACGAGGTTGTTAAAAATAATATTAAGAATTTTTTTTGTTTTCATCATATTCAAGAATTCATATTCAATTCATATTCAATTTATATTCAATTTCTTGTTATATTCAATTTCTTATATTCTACTACTACTACTACTACTGCTGCTGCTGCTACTACTACTTCCTCTTTTTCTTCTTCTAGTAGGGCTAGTACTAGTAGTAGTACCTACTAGGGCTTGTACTAGTATTTATCAACAATAGTACTACTAAAAATGATTGTTGTCGCAATGGTGGTCACCCATGATGAACAAGATAGTACTATGTGATGTGGTAGTACTACTACTAGTAGTAGTTAAAAATAAAGAGCTACTACTTCAGGCAGTGTCTACTACCTAGTGGTACAACTAGTGCAGCGGTTTGGGGATTTGCTGGTCCTAGCTACTAGTAGTTTGAATGCTATTTAGTGAGTGGTGTTGTGCATGTCGTGGCAATAATAATACAAATAATAGTGCACTTTGAGTTGCATTCATTTGACTACTAGTACTCTAGTATTTGACTAGTAAGTGGTGGTGGTGCTGGTTCTATTGTTCAATTATGCACTTAACCACGTGTCGCTTCAAGGCAGCATTGGTACATTCCATTTACCATACGTATAGTATGTATGGTAGATAGATAGCTATGGGAGTACTGGTATGTAGTTTGAATCAATATCAGCAGGGCTACCCCCACCAGATAAGAAGAAATAAATATTTACGTGTAGAACTGCTGCTGGTGGTGTACAGGGGGGCCTGGGTGTTTTGCATCTTTTTTCCATCTTTGATTGGTTTGCTGATCTATTTTCAACCATCAGCAATTACTGTAGACTGTAGTCCAGCCACTTAGCCGGAATCAAGCTCTGCTTGTAAGATTATTAGTAGTAGTACCAGTATCTACTACTAGTAGTACTAGTACTACTTAAACTCGTATTAGCCGGAGTACTGCTACTACTTGTACCGTACTACTTTTACCGATGGGCACGACTAAAAATACCGGTAGTACCTCAAACATGCCCTCCGTGTTTTGCTGCCGAGCTCAAAAGAGCTCGTGCGGTTTCTTTCCGCAACATGTGTCATTTGAGCAATTTCGTACTACCCCTACCATACCTTCTTACCAGCACTGCTCGTAACCATACTGTACGAGCACGACAATGTGAATGCAAGGAGACTTAATTAATTACTGTACCTTGCACATCACTGAAGCCATTTGTACTCCATKTTTGTTGCCTATCAGGAGTACGAAACAATCAGCAGATTTGAATAAGGATTTGGAAAAAGGATTTATTTTCCATAGAGCGACAGAAGCAAAGCGGGGATTTGAAGTTTCAAAAAAAAAAACCAATTGACCCAGATATTGACCTCATTCGTCAGTGAGGACAGCGGTATTGGCTTTTATCCTTCGATTCAAAGCCAACCGTCAACATTTGAAAATCGAAGTATAAGGTCTCACAGACAAAACATGGAATCTTCACTGAATGCTCGCCTGACCTTTGAGCAGGTACGGGCCAGTGGAGAACCATGTCGACCACTAGAGTTTCCACCCCCACAAGTGGGTAAAGGGATTCGTGTGAGAGCTTTAGTGATCGATTCAAATACGGGTGAACGAAGAGGATGGTCAATTATTCACCGAGAAGATTTTGGAATTTCTAGTAAAATTGCGAATGGCCACTGTGAACCGCAGTTTGTCGCATACGCACCTAGCAGACAACTGCAAACGGCAATTTATGGGTCGGTATGGGCGTGCGTTGTTCTTAAACGTCACTATGGCGTAGCAGCAAATAATGACGCAGCTATAGCGGTTGGAATTGAACCAGGAAGTCCATGCGCCCCCATTGTATGGGAAACGACGAACAGATTCGTTGCAATAAAAATGGTGGAGTGGGCTAAAGTACAACAAAGTCGTGGTGCCTTACTTGAAGACCCGATAAAGGAAATAGCAGCGATGCAATATATTGGAAATACGAGTCCTCATTTACTCGGACCGGTAGAAGCTTTGCAGGACAACGACTGTCTCTACAACATTATGCCGTACTGTAATGGAGGTGATTTGTTTGGTGTTGTCGTTAACTATGCCCAAGAAAGCGGCGGAGAGAGGGGGATGCCAGAGCCTGTTGCGAGGTATTGGTTTCGACAAATACTCAAGGTACGTGTCATTCAAAGCTATGTGGTAGGAAATCGAAATCTACGTTGGAAAAAGCAATGTGAATAGTTGACTGCAACCTTCGTTATGAATAGTAGGCAGGGACAAACATATTGCTGCGGAGTATCATTTTACTTTTCTCTTACATGTATCCTTCATTTTATTCTTACTTTTTTCACAGGGACTTTTCCATCTRCAATCGGTTGGTGTCTGCCATCGTGATTTGTCGTTGGAAAATATCCTTGTCGATAACGAAAATTGTCTCATAATTGATATGGGCATGTGCCTCCACGTGCCTTACAATGATCCAGCGATCCCAGGTAATGTGGTTGATGCAAGGAGAGGAAGTACTCGTCGACTGATGCGACCACAAGGAGTATGCGGCAAACACAATTATATGTCCCCAGAGGTCTATGCAAATACGGGGCCCTTCGATGGTTTTGCAATTGACCTCTGGTCAACTGCGGTAATTCTTTACATAATGTTTACCGGCTTCCCTCCGTATGAAATGGCAGATATGAGAAACAAGCGCTTTGAGATCATTGCAAAAGGGCGCCTAGTTCAACAACTGGAAGAGTGGGATGTCCATCTTTCAGAAGATGCAGGTGACTTACTCCAAAATATGATGAAAGTTGATCCGAGAGAAAGGCTTACTCTCGCCGAGGTAATGTCTCACCCTTGGGTTGTCAATGGTGATGTACAACCACCTCCACCACGACAGTCATTTCACTAGGCAAATACGGGGAATCTTCTCTACAGCATGCTAAATTGGAACCGTCGAAGACCAACTCGTGTCGAACTCGTCTCCCTTAGAGTATAGGCCTCCMCCGCTACGGTGATATAGTATACTTGAAAAGTTGGATAATGCGGGGAATCTTCTCCAAAGCATACTCAATAAAACCCAAGATAAAAGCGGACACTCGCTGTTGGTTAGGGTTGTAAAACTTCACCATTGCAACCACATCAAAGATTCTGAAGATCATTTATGTAGATAAAGAGTGTTACACGGAACAGTAATAGAAAATAGGTTAACTAGAAAATGTTTTGAAAAACACGTGGAATCTACTAGTTAATAATTTGTATTTCAATGCAGTTCTTTCGAAGAAAAAATATTCATTCGGATAAAGATCCTTTTCTCCGATTTTTTGGAGCAGGGGATGCTTGGTAGTCTAAGGTCGGTGCGAGTAGTCTTCAGCTGCTGTTGCGTCAGAGGCCCACTTGATGCTGCCATAGGTTAGCGCYAAAGCTCCGCCGGGGTAAATGATATAAGTAGGGGCACGTCGAACAACCTTTGATAGTATGTACAWTTTTTTTWWAAAAAAAGAGTTGTTCCCAAGAATAATGACGATGACAACACCAAGTTTTTAGTCTAATTCGTGCCTGAAATCAATGACGGTAAGAAAGAACTATATTCATCGAGAATTTCCTTACCTTCTGAGGGAAAGTTTTTAGCCATGGGCCGACAACGTATTGCTCATGGGCAGAAATTGATCTTGTGATCTAAGTGCGAGTCAACAACAAAAATCGAGAAAGCAAGAACAATGGATGAGAAACAAAAAACGTGCATCTTGTTCTTTATTATTGTCGGTCTTCTGCGAGTCAAATAGGTCGACGAAAGGTCTGGCTATTCTATCTCCAGTGAAGTTGTCGCATTCGGCATACGAATGATTAGAAAGATACTATGTAGACCCAATCCATTGTCAAGGAACGAAGAATAAAGGATTGGGTCCATCAACAAAAGATATCGATCTGTTTTTCTTCCCCTTCGGCATTACTACGATCACTTTACTCCCGCAGACCACCTTTAGGTACATTCAGAATATATTTCATCCGGGAAATGGTTGTACCATTCATTCCATACCTAGGGGTAGGGGTTGGTGTAGAAATGGCGATAAGTAAGAACCATTTAATGCTTGCTCACCTGTCCCTCTGCTGGTCTCTTTTTCCCCCACCATTTGGTCATAGCAAGATCAACATCATTTCTTGCGGGCCCTTTCAAGGCACGTGTACGGGCAAAGGCGCGAATCATTGTCATTCTGGTGTTGTTTCTACTTTAAACAACTGTATCAGTCGTAGTGAGATATTGATGATCAACTTTGGGTCAGTTCCGCTTCAAAAACGATCGGCAGGTTCACCTTCAACGAGAACGTCGTGTCTTTTTGGATCAGAAGCAGTTGTTGAGGAACGGGGAAGAAGGAAGAATGCCGCGCGAATACTTCTCTTTGATTGCTGTTTTCTTCGAGACTTGTACGACAGAATAACGAACACATTACAGTACGTACCATTCGTACGGTACAGTACGTAGCCGCACCCGACCGTATCGCTCATTACAGTTTGGATTCGGGGGAAAAGAAAACATTTTTAAAAATAAGAATGGTGCAATTAATCACTCATTCTCATCCCCCCCCTTTTCTGTTCATTTCAAAAACTGTTCCGGTAGTGAATAACTTGGACTTTTACTGTACAGAAATAACTAACCGATGGAGATAGTATCTTGTTTTGAGAACAAGAGGACTTAAATGCTCTTTTTGACGTATTAATGTTTACAGCAGAAGTAGAACGCTTGCCCCGCCCGCTGTGGCGTGAATGACGAAGATGTATTTTCTAATTATTTTGTCACAGAAGAAGAAAAGCACGTGCAAGGTGTGTAAGGAGTAAGG